GCGGAGTGTCCCCTGTGTATGGATGCACAAAGTTCACAATCTCGGCGCACACCAGCTTCTTGGCACGGGACACGTCGCACTTTCGACAGGCGTCCAGAAGGCAATGGCCCTTGTACTCAACTGGAAAAGAAAATATATTATGTGAATATAGATTGATCAATTTTAGGGATGAAGTCCATTGAGTACTCACAGGCAATCCGCTCCCTCAGCTCCCTGGTGGGCGCCGCATCAATGGCCGACTTGCTGTGGCAGTTGAGCAGGGTGGGGTCCGCTCCGCGACTGAGCAGCAGACTGCAGACCTCAACGCGGCTCTTGGAGGCGGCCTCGTGGAGCGGTGTGAAAGCCCACAGATCATTGGCGTTCACATTGGCGCCCGCCTGGATAAGCAGCTTGGTCACATCGAAGTGTCCATAGGAGCAGGCATTGTGCAGCGGCACCAAGCCGCCCTTGTCCTTGGCATGAACATCAGCCCCGTTGGCCAGCAGGATCTCCACGATGCCGATCCTATTGTACCCAGCTGCCAGATGGAGCGGTGTGGAGCGTCGTCCATCGCTGGCATGACAGTTGACATTTAGAGGCGTCAGCAGGGCCAGGAGGCGATCCTCGGCCCCCGATCGTGCGGCTTCCAGCAGTTCGTCCTTGCGATATTCTCCAGTTAAGACAGGCCGCGTCGCCTCGTCCGCCAGTTCCAGTGGTGTCTTCTGCTCCGAGTTCCGGATCGTGTGGTTTGCCCCGTGTTGCAAGAGGGCCAGACACACATCCACCTTGCCCTTGCTGGCTGCCTCGTGCAGTGGAGTGTAGTTCCAGTTGTCGGTGGTGTTGGGACTGGCACCCGCTTTCAACAGCAATCGCACCACCTCGGCGTGGCCAAAGGAGCAGCAGTTGTGCAGCGGATGCAGACCGCCTTCGTCGCAAGCCTGGATGGAGGCGCCGCTATTTAGGAGGAATTCCACCACTTCCCGGCGTCCATAACCTGGTTAATTGTAGGAAGAAAGAAAAGAATTCGCCATTAGATGAGTGTCACTATAGCTCTGTGTGTTTTGGTCGATGGCAAGCCCTATAAATGAACGGGAAGGTCTTGTCTTCAGGGTTCTCTGTCTTGGGTTCTTACGACCTTGCCCGTGGCATATGAAAGTGGAAATCACAAGAAGAAATGAGGGAAGAAAGTGATTGGATTTCCGTATATTTTCAATCACTTTTCCCAACGGCTATTTAAATCAGAAAATAAATGTACCAAGCTTTTATTTACGTTTTTATTTATTTTAGTTTTTAAAATGTAATTAAATTATATATACTTTTTTAGGAAGCCCCAGAGGTCACACACATATTAAGCTTAACTACATTTATCAAGTGAAGGCTAATAATGAAAGTTTATTATTATTGTTATAAGTACAAAAATTACTTAAGCAACAAAACATTTCATTGTTTATTATGATTATTAAAAATATAAAGAAAAAATGCTTTTATTTTATATTGTATATCTTTAGTTCAAAGTTACAATAAAATCATAATATAAAACAAATATCATATGAAGCAGTAATCGAATTATGATAAATAGACAAAATTGACAGCCATAAATATTTACGTGAGCAATCTGAGAGCTCGATTTCTAAACATACTTTTGGCAACTCTTGCATTGTCTATGTCTGAAATCTGACTCATCTCAATTTTTATCCGGAATTAGTCACCGCACTGATTATCAACATAAATGTTTATTGTCGTATTTATTGCAAGGTTTTTAATGAACTGCTTGGAGAACCGGAGCCAATTGCAAATCTGGGCAAACAAAAGCTTGAGCCACCCACCAAAAAGTGGTTTGCGAAACGTGTGCGCCGTTCACTTTTCTGTGGGCAAACACACAATTACGAAAGTTTTGCATTAAAAATTAATAGAATGGAAAACTTAATTTCAACTGTTGCACTTGGAGTGGCAAAGCGTCAATTGCTGGGAACATAAAAGTGATCCTTGAGTGCGGAATTATACATATGTATGGCCTGACTTAACTTAATTTGCAATTGCTAGCCCGAAGGTTAGTTTGCACAGCTTTTTGGGCAGCGATAAAAGTAAGTTTTTAGATATGGTGGGAAGGTCTCTCCGGTTTTATCGACTATATACACACACCCCGGCGCGATAACGGGGCAATGTCAATATGGCTGATAGCCGAAAAGATTGACTTTTATTAGGTGTCTCGATTGCGGGGAAGGAAGCAAGAAACGTGAGCTTCGATTTTGTTTCCTCCGCAACAGGTATTGTGCTCAAATTCCAATACTTAACAATTTCATACATTCAACAAGGTGAAAACCAGCCAAAAAATAATACAATAAGAAAACTAAAACGACACCCGACAATACAACAGGCCCCTTGAAGATCTCACTTTTTGTGCACAGAACGTGACAAAAAGACAGACGAAAATATAATGGGAAACCAGTTTATAGAAAGAAAGACCCAGCGAATGAATCATAGACCAGCAGATAATAAAAAAGTGCTCAAGTTAAAAAGAAGTCACAAATGGCCAAAAGGCGAAATTGATATGCAAGGGGCGTCGAGTGAAACCGTTGAAAAAAAGCTTTTGGGGGGTCGACCTTATCGAGGGGAAAGCCGTTTCTTTTGACTTTTGATGCTGGCTGCCGCTGCCGACTGACAAAATAAATCGCAATGCATAAAATGCTAACTAGGCCAAAGTCACAACAAAAGACGCGAAAATATTGAGCCAAAGACGTCAGCAGGATGGCGCATGCAACGCAGCAGCCACAACAAGTCGCCCCACCACCCACTGCCCCGCCCACCGCTTACCGCCCACTATCACTGTCACCCCCCAAAACCTAAAAAAACCCACAACAGCTAGAATAGTTTTAAAAGCTCAGACAATAGTTTAAATACATGAGTACTTGTATAACGAAATATTAATTTGTCTAAAAAGGCCTTCAAAAGTCTGTGTTCTTATACATCATAGTTTACAATTGCTAGTCGATTTATAGCTGTTACTATTTTAATATTTGATGACTTATTTTAAAGGTCTAAGGACTAACCATTTTTTATAGATCGTAAAAAAAGCTTTGAATAACAGGTCAGTTATTAAACACTTTCAATTTTCAATGAGCTGATTGGTATTATATTAAAAGTTAATTTTAAAAATTGCATTAAAATATTATAATTTCTTTGGGGCTGTTACCTTAAGTTTGTAAGTTATAACCGTTCATTTCTCCTGTATGAAATATGATATGTATGAACTACGATTAAAAGAATTATTAATTTCTTTACAAAATAGGTTATTCACCCCGAAATTCAACAGTCATGCCATATGTTTTAAGGCTTTATCTCTAGAAATCAACAGTTAAAGCTAGCGAAATATGGTGTTATTTTCCCCCAATTCAATCTTATTTCCAGTGCTGCTACAGTGAAAGCTCTCAGTGGAATAGCTAATTACTTTGGCTCTCAGTGCTATTATCTCAGCCGCTGTTGTATGGATATTTTTTGAAAATAGAAAATGCTAAAATGCAGCACGCACACACATGCTGCGGTGGTGAAAAGGGGGATGCCCCCACCCACCAAAGAAAAGGGGGTTTCCGGAAACAAGCCGAACATATAGAACATACAGAGAAGCAGAGGCCGAGGCAGAAGCAGAAGCGACATGGAAACTAGGTCAACTCTCGACGCCATTGGAGCAGGCGAGTGTCCGACCGAGAGCGACGACAATGACGCCCGTCACACCCAGGCGCAACTAGCTCAAGGCCAAATCCGCACTGCAGCGGGGGGTGGGGTTTGGGTGAGTCCTTCAACCTTTCGCAAGGGGGGTGGCGGAGTGGGTGGTGAAAGGATAAAGGATACTCTCTGCCGTCCGCTTATAGCCAGGACGTCCTTGGAACCCCTGTATCATCTTGCTTACCCGCTGCGAAATGCAATGGCGTGGACTTGCGTCCCGCCGTATCCCTGGCGTTCACCGTCTGCGGCGTGATTAGCTTCTTCACCTTGGCGATCTCGCCCGTCTTGCAGGCCTCGAAGAGCTCCCTCAGCGGATCGTTGGCCATGACCGCATCGAGATTAACGCTCAAAATGGCCCGACTCCGACTGCTGTTGGCCATTGTTGTGGTTTTGTTTGCTACGCTTTGGCACACACACTATCACGCCTTAAAAAAAAAGCGAAAGATTCCAGTGGGCTTTCTTGTTTCCAGTCCACGGTACTTGCTCCTCCAATCCTCCAATCGAACTGGTATCCTAACCAATCCTCAGGGTTACGCCTCCTTGGCTTGCCCGCATCCTGTGTCCAGGTGTCCTGTGCCGCAGGAGCAACAATTTGCCACTGGCTGCCACGCGACCAGCCCTCGTTTTTCGCTTAATATTTAATGCACAATTGCAGCCCCAAAATCAATAGGATTTCCTTGGTTCGTCACTGTTTGCTGGCGAGGATCGCGGTAGGCTCTACTACGGTTTGAATGGGACTCGGACCAACTCGGGGGCTAGCTCCCTGGTGTTTGGCCTCCAAAGCTTTGGGCACGGGCGATTATTTTCGGATTAATTCACTCCTCCGCGGAATATTTTGTTTTGTGACCGAATGCGAGTGTGACCGTTCGCTGGGCGACTGGAGATGGGACACAAATCGATATCGCTGCTCGAAAGTCATCGATGTTTTCCCCACCTCTATGCCAACGAGTGTTGAAAAATACTCGAATGTTCTGAACTTAATTTGGCGCAAATACTTAAATGGAGCTATAAGATCTGTCCTTTTTTCTTTTTTCGACCTTGGCTATGGACGTACAAAAGATCTTGCCATTTCTAGAGAACCCGGCCCATTAGTCATTGCAGCTCTTAAGTGTCGGCAAAAGAAAGAAACAAAAAATAAGCGCAAAAGTAAGTTCCCACGCGAATGTTAGGAGGGTGTCCTCGCTAAGGTATCTGTGTTATGAGGATGTCCTCGCTAACTTATCTTTTCCAACCAGCGTTGCCAGATCAACCTCCTCGATGGTGGTGCCCACTCCGCATCAGCGCGGCAAATTCAAACATTGATTTTTGTGGGTTTTTTATTCTGAAGTTATATATGTTTTACATTAGATTAATATTGCAGATAAACAAACGAATACATATTGTATGCTTAAATAACTGTTCAATTGAAATACATGTACATCGCTCCCGCTCCTCCGTTGGCCACTAAATGTCGGAATATGTTTCGCTCCAGCGTTTCAGTTTCTTGTTTTTTTGTTTGTCTCGGTCTCGTTAATAATGTTGTGTATATAGTAAAGTAGGTTTGCTTGGAATCGGAATTGGCTACGGCTACTGCGCCAGCTACTTGCGGTTGCGTATGGCGCGGTCCATGATCGTATTGATGCGCGTCTCCGAATAACCAGGAACGAGCATGTGGATCAGCTCCTTCATAAACAGGTCGCTCACTCCCGGGCTGGAGCGTTCGGCCAGTTCGAACACGGACTTCAGGTCGCCGATGTCGCTGCCCACTCCCAGGTTGCGTCCTCCAGATCCGCCGCCGCCTCCGGATCCACCGCCGGAGTACTTCCGCTGGATGTCGGTCAGCACGGGGAAGAGGAAGTTGTTCAGACAGGCGCTGTTCGTCTGGACTAGGCGTTGTCCCGCCCCAGTGTGCTTGACATGGCTGGCATGGTTGGTGGCCACATGCTCCTCGTGGCTGTGGTTGTTGCTACTGCTGCCGCTGCTGCTGCTGGCGGCCAGTGCGGCGTTTGTTGCATGGAATGATTCACGTTGGCTGCTGCGACGCTGCTGCTGTTGCTCGGCCGGCGACAAAGACGGTAGCGAAGACTGCAGGGGCAGGCCCAGAGAGGCGCGGCGATCCTCGACCTGATCGAGGGGGGCGGAGGAACGCGACTGGCGCAGCTCCGGCTTGGAGCTGGAACGCTTCTGTTGCAGCTCGTTGGCCGACGAGGAGCTGGTAACGTTGCTCGGCGGTGGAGCTGCATTCAGCATGGTGCTGGTGGCGTGCTTGTTGCTCAAATTGCTGATGTTATTGTTGTTAATGTTGTTGTGGTTGTGGACGTGGCTGTTCTGTGGGGGCAGGGCGGATGCGGATGAAACAGCCTCGCTGGCTGTGATGACGGACACGGAGGAAGCTGACGCCGCCACGGCGGACACAGAGGACGCTGATGCGGATGCGGCAGGCGGGGCCTGACCACCACCGCCGCCGCCGGCTGGGGAATGTGTGGTCTGCATCAGCTTCTGCATGGTCAGCTCGTGCTCCTGCAGCTGAAAACTGTTGACGCCCGCCCGTGGGGCACTGTTGATGTGCAGTCCCTTGACGGTCATGATCCAAGGCTCATCCTGGCTGCTGCCTCCCTGTTTGGCGTCCGAATCCGAGTCGGAGTTCTCCGACTCCGTCTCACTCTCGTCGCCCTTGGACACCTTCCACTTCTTGAAGCGATCGATCAGGTCGATTAGGTAGGCGTTCTTCTTGGCCTTCTTGATGAACGGGTACTTGAGCAGCTCCTTGGCCGTGGGCCTGTTCTCCGGATCCTTGTTCAGACAGGCCTCCACAAAGTCCTTGAACGACTTGGTGTAGTTGCCCGTCAGCTGGGGCGGATTGTTCTTGGGGATGAGGAAGAGCACACGCATCGGATGCAGCTCCGAGTTGGGCGGCTCGCCCTTGGCCAGCTCGATGGCCGTAATGCCCAGCGACCAGATGTCCGCCTTGGCATCGTACTGCGACTGTTTGATAACCTCGGGGGCCATCCAAAAGGGTGTGCCCACGAAGGTGTTCCTCTTGGATGTGGTGTTGGTCAGCTGGCCGGCAACTCCAAAGTCCGCCAGCTTGACGTCGCCCTGCTCGCTCAACAGCACATTGGCCGCCTTGATGTCGCGATGCAGCTTGCGCTCCGAGTGCAGGTAATCCAGGCCCTTAAGCACCTCGCGCAATATGATGCCGATGTGCATCTCCTCGAAGGAGCCGGCCTTCATGAGGTCCAGGGCGGATCCACCGCCCAGGTACTCCATGATGATCCACAGCTTGGTGCCCTTGAGGAAGCTGCCATAGTACTTGGTCACGTACGGCGAGTCGCACTGCGACAGCACCATGATCTCCTGCTGAATGTCGTCGATCTCATCCTCGGCCTCCTCCAGATCGATGATCTTGATGGCCACCACCTGCTGGGTGCGATTGTCGATGCCCTTGAACACCTCGCCGAAGGAGCCCTTGCCGATGCGCTCCTGCTTGGTGAAGATCAGCTCGGGGTCGACTTTCTCCGTCCAGGACATGATGGCTATCTAGTTGCTTCTTCCCACTTCCCACTTCGTGGCTCTTGGCTCTCCTCCACCTCCTCCTTCTGCCTTCTGCACTCCCGGATTCCCTGGCTGCTCCGCTGACTCGACTGGCGTGGAGTGGACCCGACTGGACTGGACTGTTCTGCGGGCTGTTGGTTGGCTCTACTTCTCTGCGGGGGCACTTGACTAATAATTTTTTCGTTGGTACCTCATCTAATCCGAGAAATCTCTTTTTTTTAGCTATCGATAGTTAAGAATTGGTTGGGCAACGTAGTGTCAGTGAACGTAAGTGTCAGCGAACGTAAGCCTTCGTAAGTGTCAGCAAACGTAAGCCACCGTAAGTGTCAGTAAAAACGAGTAAGAAAGGGAGATAAAAGATTTCGAAGAGAGAACAGATGTTCAACGGTATCGGTAATTTTTTCGATGGTATTAATACATCGTTTAATCCGAGAAATCTGTCTTTTTTAAACTATCGATATCTTAAATATAGATAAGAAAACTATCGACAGTTTGGAGCCCGCGAAATACGGAAAATACTGACAGTTTTGGGATGCTTTCCAGCACTGCTGCCACAGAATTCCCTTCCTAACTTCACTATCTAACACTGTTTGCCGCCGCCAAATTTAAATTACTCAAATATTTCGAATGGTAGTACTTTTTTATAGTCTTTAGTCCTTGACGATTTGTAATAATTGATTCTTTTTAATTTTATTCAGCTTTTATCGGCCGGATGAATATTTTGTGAGTCTCCGAAAAAATGGTTTCGGTAGGACAGTTTTTGATATATTTGAAAATTTGTAAAGTCCACACAAATTAAGTAAAACCATTCATGTTTATTTTAATTAATTTTATTTTTGAAAAAGTTGTTACATTTTTACAAATCAAAAAGCTGTTTGCGTTTCTTCTTTTGAATATTTAAACAAAATCAAATAAATTCACAATTATATTGTTGCTTTTAAAATGTTCTATTCTGATCGTTTTGGGTACCCACTTTGCCTGGGAACCGATCAATTGATTTGTCGGTGGTTGACTGCGACTTGCGAATTAACATGGAGAAGCCAATCAGCAAGGAATCTCTGCCTTGTTGGTTAGGTCCTGAGGCCTTGAAGAGGTTTTCTTGTTGAAAAAATACCAATCCAAGGCTGGCTATCAACGTTTGTGATGGCAGTTCTTTTTTCTCTAAACATAAATTTCACAAAAGGCAACATAAACTTATCAGCTAAGGGAAGGGTTTGTTTGTCCTATTACATAATTGAGCAGCGGGACTTGTCCTCGTCTCCGGCCACATCGTCGTCCTCAACGACGGGGGGAATGTTTCCCCGTCGGATGCCTCATCGACATCTTGGCCATCGACGTTGTTACCCTCGGCATTCTTCGTGGCGGGAATTTCCTTACTGGTCGAGCTGGCCTCCTTGGTCGTCTCCAGACCGGACACATCCTCGATGGGCTGCTCCTCCTCTACCTCGACTTCTTCCGATACGCTGCTCGAAGATGTGTGTCCCTGTTGCTCCTCCACGCCGGAACCGTTCAGATCCAGACGCAAACGGGCAGGAGAACTAATTGTAGTCTTGGAGAACTTCGAGCGCAGCATACTGAAGGGCGAGGCCAGGTTCAGGCTGTACAAATCGAAACGGGCGCGCTTTGGTGGCGACAATTCCACGTCTTGTCCCAGATTACTCGTCGACCGAGTAGCCGAAAGTGGTGGGGGAGTGCGGTCGCGTTTGCGACCACGGCCAAAGAACGAGAACGAGAAGGACGAGCTGTTGGGGGTCTCAGAACCCACGGTAGCGTTCATGCTGGCATTTGTGCAACTCGAGGTGTCCAGTTCGCTGTTGCAGCTCCTGTAGGTGCCCACTTTGGAGGGTGTCAGCGAGTTTATGGGTCGTCTACCTGTGATCTGGGCAAAGGTGCGAGCCGGAGTTCCTGCCGGAGAGCCAGAGGTCTGATATGTTAGATCCACCTCGGTGGTCTGCTTGCTGCTGCCGCGGAAACTGAAGAGACTGCGTCCGGGCGTGGATGTGGCCGCCGGTAGGGCATTCATATTCCCATGGACGCTGCGTATCGGGGAGGCATCCACTTGGAGCGTTTCCATGTCCACATCCTCCTGTGGAGTCAGAGAGCCAGCAGATGTAGATGGAACTGTTTCGGATTCCTTATTCTGGGATGGCGAAGCTGGGATTGACTTGCTGTTGTGAGACTTTTGGCTTCCTTCTTCCATCTTGGTCTCTGGACTTCTTTCTTTTTGGCTGGAGCTTCTGTTTGCTTCTTTTTAGCTTCCACTTCCTTTATGGTGTTCTCGTCGCCGTTGCTGCCGTTTAGGGAAGCGGAAGACGACGTCCCGAGCCAGTGCTTTCGGAACCAGATCCTTCTCCAGTTGTGTTGCTAGCCATCTTGCTTATCATTGGTTGGGATTCCTTCGACGTGTTGCACGATCTCTGCAAGGGGCACAAGCAAGAAGAATACATTATATATTTGCTGATTACGGTCTGCTTGCCCTTCAAATGCAGAGAAAATGAAAACTATGCACGAATTGATTTGCGGTTTGTTTACATCACATTCCTCTCGAGAACCGGCTCTGTACCAAAACATCACCCACTTACCACACTTTTGCTGTTTAGCTTGAGAATTGTTAATCACAGTAAGTCCTAGATTTATTTCTAAATGCTAGGGTGACAGCCTGGGCAACGCTTGGCGTTTTATATTTGGGATTTTCTAGGCACGTCTTGACAGTTTCGAGTCTGAGTCTTAACTTGAGAGGATTGTTAGCCTGCACCTTCTTAAGTAGCTAGAGCTTAAGGTCCAAGATAAGTACAGGTATAAGAAATTCTGATCAGCTGAAGGAAAATTGGCAATCTACCTGCTGAGGCAGCTGCCATTTATGACGGACATATGTGCTGAGATTGGGATGCGTTAATTACCGGGAGTAAGCAATCACCTGGGGACATATGCTAACTTATACCTCAAAATGTCTAAATTCGGAAAAATTCTCGGTAAAATATTCAATTTGCATTTCAGGCAAATATTTTTAGTTTTTCCCAGGGACCGTAAATAATAGTTATACGAAACAAACAAATCGCAGTAAAACAGTAGAGCACTTTTTACCTGTACTTGGCCAAGTTTTATGTATTTCACATTTTTAAAGGAAGATGTTGGAAATATATATTATTCATTTAAAGTTTCTATGACTTTTATAATATTGCGTCCGTTATCATAAGATATTGTGTAGATTTGTCCTATTGTTAAGGGAAATGTTCTAAAAGCATGATACAATTTTTTTCAGAGTGCTCTTTGTGCAACTCAATGATTACCAATGTTTTATAACTAACCTGCAGTTTCACCATTCAGTACTGGCACACAATCATCACGCAATCGACACTTTAAACTCTTTTTGTACTTTAAAAAGCGCTTGAAAGATGCTCAATGTGTGCCAGTTTTTGAGCAGTGGTGAGTTGTAGGACATGCCTATGTTAAAATTCATACAAATTGAGCGCTCTTTTGCAGTAATTCAGTGCTTAATTAGCGCTTGATGGTAGTGCAGGTCACCAAAGATTAAAAGTTGTAAGACTCCACAAAATAAGTAAAATTATTCCCTTTTTTTTATAATGTACTTTATTAATGAAACATGCGTTACATTTTTACAAATCAAAAATCTTTTTGCGTTTCTTTTTTGGATATTTAAAACAAAATCAAGGAAACTAAAAGAAAATTACAGACTTTCACAAATATGTTGTTGCATATAAAATTTCTTATACTTATTGCTACAAATATGTTCGGTTTGGGTACCCATTTTGACTGGGTACCGATTATTTGATTCGTCGGTGGTTGACTGCGACTCGCGAATTCGCATGGAGAAGCCAATCAGCAAGAAATCTCTGCCTTGTTGGTTAGGTCCTGGGGCCTGGTAAGGTTTTCTTGTTGAAAAAATACCAATCCAAGCCTGGCTATCAAAGTTTGTGACGGCAGTTTCTCTAAACATGTAACTTTACGTCTTAACACATATTTTACGAGGGAAACATAAACTTATCAGCTAAGGGAAGGGTTTGTTTGTCCTATTACATAATTGAGCAGCGGGATTTGGCCTCGGCTCCGGTCTCATCGCCGACCTCAATGGCGGGAGGAATGTTTTCCCCGTCGGATGTCTCATCGACATCCTTGCCATCGGCGTTCTTCCCTCGACATCCTTCTCGGCGGGGATTTCCTTATTGGGCGAGCCGCCCTTCTTGGGCGTCTCCAGACCGGCCTCCTGGCCCACGGTCACATCCTCGGTGGGCGGCTCCTCCTCTACCTCAACTTCTTCCGGCACGCTGCTCGAAGAGGTGTGTGCCTGTTGCTCCTCCACGCCGGAACCGTTCAGATCCAGACGCAAACGGGCAGGAGAACTGATTGTGGTCTTGGAGAACCTCGAGCGCAGCATACTGAAGGGCGAGGCCAGGTCAGGCTAAACAAATCGAAACGGGCGCGCTTTGGCGGCGACATTTCCACGTCTTGTCCCAGATCGTTAGTCGACTGAGATGCAGAAAGTGGTGGGGGAGTGCGGTCGCGTTTACGACCACGGCCAAAGACGAGAACGAGAAGGACGAGCTGTTGGGGATCTCCGATCCCACGGTAGCGTTCATGCTAGCATTTGTGCAGTTCGAGGTGTCCAGGTCGCTGTTGCCACTCCTGTAGGTGCCCACTTTGGAGGGAGTCAGCGAGTTGATGGTCCGTATGCTGCGTCTGCCGCTGATCTGGGCAAAGGTGCGGGCCGGAGTTCCAGCCGGCGAGCCAGAAGTCTGGGCAGCTAGATCTACCTCGGTGGACTGCTTGCTGCTGCCGCGGAAGCTGAAGAGACTGCGTCCGGGTGTGGATGTGGCCGCCGGTAGGGCATTCAAATTACCGTGGACGCTGCGTATAGGGGAGGCATCCACTTGGAGCGGTTCCATGTCCACGTCCTCCTGTGGAGTGAGCGATCCAGCACATGTAGATGGAACTGCTTCGGTTTCCTTACTCTGGGATGGCGAAGCGGCGATCGACTTGCTGATGGGAGACTTTTGTTGGCTTCCCGACTTGCGAATGGATTTGCGATCCTTGCTGGGCGTGCTTAGTTCTGGAGTAATGTCAATGACATCGTCGAGGACTACAACATCTGGTTGAGTTGCAGGTGTGGAAATTTCTGCGGTGGTAGCTTCTTCTTGGTTTCTTCTTGATGTTCCTTCTTTTCAGAGGGAACTTCTAAGACCTCCATCTGAGCTACGACTTCCTTGTTTTCAGCTTTATCCTGATCTTTATTTTCAGCTGCAACCTCTTTATCCTTCTTCTCGACCTCCACCTCCTTTTCCTTCTTTTCTGGCACTTGTCCTTAGATTTCTGGTCCTTGCTCGAGGAGTTTCCGTTCTGAGGTTTTTCCTTGCCGTTGGAAGACTTGCCGACACCATTCTGGCTGGCTCCGCCGACGATGAAGAGCTGGTGGACGAGGTACGTATTTGGGTTGTCCTTTTCACGGGTACAAATGACTCTGTGATTTTTCTGTTGCCGTTTTGGGGGCTATTTGAGCGCCCGTTGCTGCCAGATGACTGCTGCAGGCGGGACACACTGGTGCCGCCGCTTAGCGAGAGCGGTAGACGACGTCCCGAGCCAGTGCCTCCGGAACCAGCTCCTCCTCCAGTTGTGTTGCTAGCCATCTTGCTTAACATTGGTTGGGTTTCCTTCTACGTGTTTCACGATCTCTGCAAGGAACACAAACAAGGAGATTGATTTATTCGTTGATTTCAGACTGCTTGCACTTCAGGTGCAGTGAAAATGAAACGAAAACTAAACACGGAATGATTTGCGGTTTGTTTACACCACATTCCTCTCGAGAACGGCTCTGTAATCAATACCCCACCCCACTTACCACAGTTTTGCTGTTCAGCTTGAGAATTTTTTAATCACAATAAGTCCCGACTTTTTTCTTAATTTTAGGCAACGCTTGGCGTTATATATTTGGGATTTACTTGGCACGTCCTGACAGTTTTGAGTCTGAATCTTAACTTGATAGGATTTGTACCCTGCATCGTTTTAAATAGCAAGAGCTAAAGGTTTAGGATCAGGGCAGGTACTCGGAATATTGATCAGCTGAAGGAAAAATTAACAATTTACCTGTTGAGGCAGCTGCCATTTATGACGGACATATGTGCAGAGATTAGGATGCGTTAATTACCGGGAGAAAGCAATCACCCGGGGACATATGCTAACTTATTCCTCGAAATGTCTAAATTCGGGAAATAACTCTGTAAGTATTCCATTTGCATTTGCATTTCGGGGTGGGTATTTTTAGTTTTCCCCTCTTCACAGACAATATTTTTTCTTCCGCTGAGTGGTTTTCGCTCCCCCAATATATTTAACTGGCTTCCGTTCTATTAAATGCATTCAAAACAAAGTGAGACACAAACTTAACAAATATTGACCAACACGCAAAGCTTAAGCAAACAAACAAGGTTTTTGTTCGTTTTTTTTAGCTTGCTTGCAAGTAAAATAATTCTAAAGGGTAAGAATGGCAGAACTGAAGAAAATAGTACAAAAACAAAGTCGTAGAAAAATACCAAGAGGGAAAATTTCTTGTCGTAGGCCGACCTATACTGCACAGACAGCTCGATGCCAGATAAATGCGAAATCGGAAATGGTGATGAACCGAATTGTGAAAGACTCTAACAAGGAAGGGAATTATTTTTGATAAATTACAAATTTTTGAATATTTATTTCATTACATTGAAAATGTAGAATAGGAAAAAAAATTAGTCAAAGAAGGATATTAGAGGTTTGTGCAGGCACTAGCTCTTACTTATCTAAAAGAAAATACCTTGTTATAATAGTTATGTTGGAAACTGATGATTTGGACAACAGGATTCACAACTATTTATTTTTTTTTAAGGTAATAAAATTATGTAAAAAATATTTTTTTTCTAGCGATTAAAATCACTACTTTTTCTTATATATATTTTTACTATCTATCAAAATGGAGTAATTTACATGTGGTTCCTTGAACTTTAATATTAAATTGAACTGTTTTTATTAATTATATTATTATGTTTTCGAAATGTTAAATACTAGTTGGACTATAGGCTTTGTGAGGGTATCAAAACTAGTTGCACCCCAGGTGCATTCAGTCAGTAGGCGCGATGGGAAAGGCAAGGGGACGTCGTTTAGAAAGAAATTGCATTGCACTGCAGTTTTCTTTTTAGAAAGTGGAAATGCGAGTGCTGAAAATCGCGGACACGAACGATGCTGCGAAAACTCAAAAATAATGAACACAATTGCAGCGAAAGACTGCAAAAATGAGTGTTTGTGTGGGTTGGCATGTGTGCATGTTTGTGTGCATGCATGTATTTTTAGCCAAGCCCTCTTTGATGGGGGAATCGTTATTCATTATTGTGATGGTAGTGCCCTTTTCGCCGTTTGTTTTGATACTCAATTCGCGGAGTTGATTAAACTCGGCAAAAAGACGATCATAATTGCCAGTTTATATGGTCGAATGGTTAATGGAGGTTCTGCTCCAAGTCTAGTTAATCAATTTCAACGACTTGCGATCGGATCAGCAAAAACATAAACATAAACGAAGGAATATAAAAAAGAAAAATCACACACATGTGCGCAGTCGGTATGTCTGTGTGGGTTTTAAGGCGGCTTACAATGCGCGCCAAAATATTGAACAGAGCTCTAAAACAAAGAAGTCAAGGGACGTTAAAAATAAAACAATTGATATTTTTGCGTTAAAAAATCGAATTACAAGTCTGGATCTATTATAAGTGATTTTTAATTTGTTTTGTAAATATTTTACGGACAAGATTAGTTTTCTAATTTTCACATTAGTTTGACATTTATATCACATTTTTGTAAAAGATTATTATGATATAAATTATGACTGAACATATTATATGTTGGGTAATAAAAAATCATGGCAATTTTAGACAATATGAGAGCACATTTTTTTACTTGAAAGAGAAATCAGCTACGCTGTTCACTATTCTTTGCCACCACTGTACCAGGCAATTGTCGGAGGCTCAGATACCGAGTTCGTTTTTTAAAATGGCGGCGCGACAGCCTCAATTGGCGATAATGCATTTGGGATGGGAAGAAAAGTATTGAACTCGTGCTCTTCTGGACCATATAATATACTTTGCGGGTTTCCTAAACTGTCATTCCTTCTGTCTGCTTCTTAATATTTCGCACACTTTCCGCAACTCGGAAATTATTGCCCTATGTTCGCGCAAAAAATTGTGTACACCTAGGCTTCACTATCCTACCGCAACAAAAAGGATGCGCGATTGTCCCTCGCAAGCGAAGCACGTTTTCACATTTTGGTAACTTAATATTAGCGTCGGGCACACCCACCTCTTTTGTTCGAGTTTTTCAGCACAGGAAATACGTCAACAGCAGTTTCCACGACAAAAAGTACTTTGATTTTTAAACCGACGCCGCCGACACAAACAAATTAAAACCAACGCTAGGGATGTGGAAAAATATCAAAGTCTCAATATATCGATCTTTTTGAATAAAAATAAATATTTGTATCGCGATATTATTTCCCCTGAAATATCGCTATTTTTGCGCCGTTGTCACGTTAGTGCCAGAAACGTAAGTGTCAGCAAACGTAAGAGCCACGTAAGTATCACTAAAAGTGGGAGGGATTTTTTGAAATATTTATATCGTGATGTTATTCATCGCTATATATAGCTATTTTTGCGGCACTGTGACGTAAGTGCTAGTAACGTAAGTGAAACTTAAGAGCCACGTAAGTGTCAAAAAAAGAGGGAGAAAAAAATACCAAAATAAAATATTTGAATATTAAACTATTTATACCATGATATATTTATCACGTGATATATCGCTATTTTTGGCGCCGCTGTGATGTAACTGCGATAAAACGTAAGCGTCAGCATGCGTAAGAGCTCCATAGTGCCAAATGCTAGATTCCAGCGATTTCTAACAGCAATGTTAAGATACAACAACATTGCTGTTAATGTAATGGCGATTAATCGATGTTTTCTTTTTGGCATCACTAAGTTTTCCCTAGACCACAACCACCCTTGGCACTTCCCTTGGTATTTTTTGGGAATCTTAAAAAGTAAGAACCGTATTTACTCAGCAGCTCTGTATTTCCCCAGTGTAAAGCCCACGGTCACACCCGACTCCAATTGCTAAATAAACTTTTGAGCTGTAAAATCAATGAAATAAGTGAAAAACCAACGTGAGTACCCTCCGAATAATCGATTTGTGGCCTCTTAGACCGAGGGGCGCCCCCATTTCCCAATAACAATGCTTACTTAACTGAATTTTCCACCAACATGACGCATCTGCGGCTCCATGACTACGCCTTTCCATTTGTGCCGGATCACACGCACACACTCGCATCGACGCCAACACGAACACGAACACACCACACGCAGAGTGCGAATAAACGGAGAAACAGAGAGAAACGCAGAGGAGCACAACATGGCACATCTCCTGGAGAACCAACTGTTCACGGCGGCCAAGACCATCGAGCAGCAGCTGGACCAACAGCTGGACCGGCTAGACAACCTCGACTCGGACGACTTGAAGGCTCTGAGGGAGCAGCGCCTTCGCGAGATAAGGACCTGAACAACAAGAAGCAGGAGTGGCTCAGAAACGTAGGTGGTGCTTTCTAGGAATGACCTATCAGAAGGTCACTAAAGTCTAGACTAATCGATCATCTTCGAGATTTTTCTTTAAAAGTCAGAGCCGAATGGTTCTTTAGATAAGAATTTTACGTTAAATAGAAATGTTTACTTGCTGATTTCGTTTCAATAATGTACTCAGTTTTATAAAGTAAGATACTACTAAAAGTTAAACTTATAAAGTATAAATAATAATGTTTGTAAAGTCCAATAAGACTTAAATTTTACCCTTTTCAAATGAAATGAGATGGGTTTAAAATATGTGTTTTTAACCCACTTAACCTAAGGTTTAAAAAGATAAAAGTAGTATCAGGAATAAGAAAAAATACTTTTTCTTAAAGACTTCCCCTAACTATGAATTTCAATATCCTTCTATTCTAGGGCCACGGCACCTACACCGAGCTGGCCGACGAAAAGGAGTTCTTTGAGATGTCGAAAAAGTCGCCCAACATTGTGTGCCACTTTTATCGCGACAGCACCGAGCGCTGCAAGATCGTGGATATGCATCTGAAAATCCTGGCCGCAAGCACGTGGAGGCCAAGTTCTGCAAGGTGAACGCTGAGAAATCACCCTTCCTTACCCACGGCTGCGCATCAAGGTGATACCCACATTGCCCTCGTGAAGGACAGCAAGACCAAGGATTTCATTGTCGGCTTCTCCGATCTGGGCAACTGCGACGACTTTGCCACCGAGATGTTGGAGTGGCGCATCGCCCACTCAGGAGCCATTGAATACAAGGGCGATCTGATGCAGCCCCCAGATGTGAAGCGCAAGACATTCATCAACCGCCCACAGAAGACAATACGCGGCGGCTACGACTCGGATGACTCCGACATCGACCTGGATGACTAACTACGGGCAGCCCGTCCCACGCTGTCGATTCCCCCAGCTCCAGTTCCAGCTCCAATCCCACACTCCCACACAAAAAACACTCAAAAGCGATGGAGAAACGAAAACAGACACACACAAATCAAAACCTAGCACATGGATCTAAACCAATTAGGCGTACTTTAGCGATATTTATTTAATTATACGATTCCGATCACTCTGCTACGGTCCCCATTCGCCACATAGGATTAGTGGCTTATTCGGTTGCCTTTCCCCCGATTATGTCTTTAATATCTATCAGTTCAATCAGCCGCCTCGAAGGCTGAGCCACTTTAGCGAGCTTAAGCGTACTCAAAATTTGATCTTTATGGTATTTGTAATTCCAAGTCACTGTGCACCTCTCCAGTATATATGTTTAGTTGAACATAGTTTCACAAATCGCTTTCCCTCCCGAAAGCGGAGATGTAAAACAAGAAACAAAAAAAAAAAAACAGCATAAAAGACAAGCAACTAAACATCTGGAATATATATTTCTAACAGTTCGAGAAAAGGTGTACTGCATTTCCTACTGTAGAGGTAACTAACACTTTCATATGTACAAGTTTTTATATTTATTTTTGTAATTCTACAAAGCATCAAAGGAAATCAACTATTAAATTGCATGTTTAAAACAAAGCAAACGTACTTAATTACGACTGTCTTGGTAATTGGTTAAGAAGATAAATGGGTTTCACACAGATTTCTATTTTAGATGGAAATGCCTGTATTTGTATGGGAATATAGGTTCAACGAAATCACAGATAATTTTATTACCAGTTTATTTTAAATGCCACTTTGAATTGAAACTAGCATTTAACTAGTTTTGGGAATTACGATATATTTTTATCATTATAATTTTTCACAAAACTGTAGATATTGCTCGATTCTATAATAATTTTCGAGTACAAATGGTTTTTCTTTGAGTTTTCTAAAATTTTAACCGTTTTTGACTCAAAACTGTTTATTTAAATATTGTATTAAAGGTTTTTAGTTCGAAAGAGTTATGAAAAGTTAATTATAAAACCAAACTTAACTGAAAATATCAGTTAAGAGATGTATAAATTCTTTTGTTAACACCACAACACCGGATTGAATGAATAGGTTCAGAGGTTATATTCTAGTGTTGGCATTTCCCTAACAGCTGATCGGAAGATTTGAAAATACCTCCCTTAAAATAGCTATCGTAAGGGTTGGCATCCCTGCCTATGCGAATAACGGAATGGCCGCCAACGTTGAAAAGGGACGCCGTCTGAAGTAATTTACCTGGAATGACGCCGTAATCCGGTAATTATAGCTTACTCGCCATAAAACTGAGGACCAGACTATCGCCAAAATCGGGACAGAAACTTTTACCTGTCCGGTGCATAAAACCCTTGACAGGGATTCCAAACCCCAGCATTTGCATTGTGAAACTCGTACGACAAAGAAGCATCTATCGAAATGGTACTGGCTCCCGAAGTTAAAAGTATTGTGAAGGCCCTGAGGGGCTCGAATAGCTGCGAGGAGATAGCCCAGATCCTGGAATGCGACGTGGAGAGCGTGGTGAGCTGCATCCGGGAGTGTGAGCTGCTCGAGGGCAAGACGGCCACGCTGCGATTGCCGCAGAGACCGAAGTCAACTAAAGCAGAGCCTGTGGTTGCCCAGGAGGAGGAGAAGAAGCGCGAGGTGGGCCGACCCAAGATCCTGGAGAACCGTCAGCTTGTCGAGCAGTTGCTGGCCAATAATCCGCACTACACCTCCATCGATGTGCAACGGGAACTGGCCCTGCATGGCATAGAGGTCAGCCGCAGGACCTTGCAGCGCAGGATCAGCGAGATCCGCTCCAAGAATGGCCAGCAAACGAGTGCATCTCCAGCAAAGGAATCGAACGGCCTCAGCGATGAAGCCAAACGTAAGAGGTTGGCCTGGGCCACCGCCCACCAGGATTGGACAGTGCGCGACTGGCGCAACATCTTCAACATGGACGATCTTAAGTTCGATGACGAATCGTCCCCGCCAAAGGAGATCTTTCTGGACACTCTGATGGGTCCAGAGGGTTCGGTGTGCAGTGACCTCAATCTTCTGGAGCAGCTGATGGCCATTATCCAGCCGAGGATCCAGAACCAGGCTCCCAAGAATGTCAGCGAGTTCCGGGCTGTCTTGTATGACGTTTGGCACAGTGACCAAGACATGGTGGACAAGATCGAAATGCTCTACGAGTCGATGACGTGGCGCGTTTCGGCGGTCCTCCGCAATGGCGGGGATCAGACCGAGTTCTGCTAGCCAAGCTATAGATTTAATCGTGCTCTGGTTTTTGAATGTTGAATTAAGAATGACATCATTCACTATCAATTATGTTTGATTAGTTTATTAAGTTTTTAGTGGCCATATAAAGTATGTACATGGTACACTCTGATAGTTAATTTCATTTTCCCTTTCGAACAATTGTAAAATCGTTTGCTACCTATAAATAAAGTGTACAACGCAATGTTCACGACAACGATCTGTTTTAATTTGGAAACGTTGCTTATAAAGGGACATTTAAAAACATATTTCAGAACTAAAAGTTCACAGAAATTTATAATAATTATTTATGCTCTAGCCGAAATTGAACACTTTCACATTAACCAAATATTTAAACAAATGAGTAGTATATAGTTCCTTAGTTAGAAACTTGAATGGATTTTGATCTCTTCGAGCATGACCATAGTGAAGTAGAACACCATTGAATAGACTACTCCAATTACTATAAAGTACATGGCGTATACTGTAAACTGCTGGAAAACATCCAGATTTAAGTTGACCTTCTCCGAAACAACCACAAATGTCAAGATGCATTGAAGGATGAGACCCACAAATGTATTGAAACCGAAAACCAGGGCGAAACTATCCTCCATTAAGCTGCTGGCCAATTCAGAACTGAAATATAATGGGTACTTTTACTGTCGTATCTAAAAAAGATTAATTAGGATTCTTTACCTAGCCACTGTAATGGTAAAGGCGAATAATCCGCCGTAAAGCACATAGCCGAGGTAGGATAGGTATATATTAGCGGTCCAGCAGGAAAGAAGAACACAACCACCCTCAAGGATGGACAGTAGAGCCATTGAGAGCAGGCTGCTCCTGGTGCTCATCGTCCAGCATGGAAGTATCCGGCGAGGAGGGCAAAGACAGCACTCAGAAGGGTCAGGGCAACATCCACAGCTCCGTTCCAAGCTATCTGTAGAGGAAAGTATAAGGATTATATTTTGTTTCCTTACTTTAGATATCAAAAAAAGTTTTCAGATCATATTTTGCTCAAATTAACAAAAATCTTAAAATCCGAAACTCTTTTCATTGTTCTGACAATTGACTCACTGTTGGTTCATTTGCGAAGGACTTCCAAACCACCTGCATATAGGTGGTTATTTGCAGAAACCCGACAGACTTATAGCATACCATAAGCTCCATTGCACCACCAAAGAATTGGTATAGGCACTACGAAAATGGGACCAGAGCAGCTGCCAAGCTGGAACCTTCTTACTAGGACTCGTGACAGTCTTCGGTTCCGTTTCTTTCCATCGGTATCCTCTGATCCCTTCTCCAGACCTCCTCCATCCGATTTGCCAGCAACTTGTATAGCTTCGGTTTTATTATGGAAGTAGACACTTTTTTCCACCTTTGGCAAGCCGAAGGCCCATAGAAGCGCTGCAACTTGAGCTGTGGGAAAGCGGGTTCTTAATTGATTGACTATATAATCTCTTAGATTACTGGGAACCCACAGCTCACTGAGATGTAGAACAGTTGCTTGTAGTTCATCCACTGCATGCCGATCACCAGTTGCGCCAGAAGACCGGCCACCAGTTTGCCCACAAACATTGCTGCTCGAGTATGCGAGGTCACCCGGGGATAGTACTGTTTGTCCACCTTGGCATAGATGTACGAGTAGTAGGCCACCTCGGCAGCCTGGTAAAAGCCATAGAACACCTCCACCGCCTGAAGCCCGCCCAAAGTGCTTGTCCATATCAGAGTTCCCCATATGGATATTCCAGTAATTGCATTGGCGATGATCACGGGTTTGTATCTGTAGAACAATTAGACGGTTATGTAGTCAATAAAGATTATATTAAGGGTACTATAGGTTTATATACCTGAGCAAATCCGTTATAAGGAAGACAAAGATTAGAAGCGCCAGGTAGGAGTAGGTTCCCACGGGATATACCGATCGATTGACCTCGTCTGGGTGACATGATACCACTCACCCATCAGGATCTCCGCGTGATAAGGCTCCGAGGGCCTCAACTCCCTGAGGAAGCCGAAAATGCAGAGCACACACGATATCTTTAGCCAAGACTCCATCCCGTTACGGCTGTCGGCTTAAATCTAATCGCGATATTTACGCTAACCAACGATCGCACTGGCTATATGTGTGTCTGGCACCGTGGAGCTTCGAACAGCTATTATAATAATAGCACATTCTTCCGAGGGGTTAGCGCAGGCTAGGCCCGAGTATAGAGATTACCCTTCGACGCTTGTAATCAGTGCTGGGCCATTCGCGATTTACGATCCAAGTGTTCTCCGATTTAGTGCAGGCAGCGGAGCAGGGGGTATAGATGTGGGAAGTCCGGGAAGTTTCCGCTTACATAGAGCATGGTCACGATCTTGATTGACTTGCTCTCTACCCATGCAGTTCCCACCTCAAGTTGGCCATACAAATTATCAGCTAATTAGCCCATTAACGTGGCACTTAAATGTATCTGCAGTGAAATTCTCATAGGGTCTTTAAGACTCGTTTTGTTTATTAATGCTTGTGTAATCAAAATATCAACACTAATGGGTTAATATCAGCGATAGCCTGGTTATAAATGGAAAGAAACCGTTTCGGGTGTATTATTAATTCGTTCATTAAAATGTTTGAGCAAGAGCCGGTTTACTAATAAAACAACTACGCCCAAAAAAGATCAGTTAAAATTTAATACCGGTTGTATCTAAAGCATACCAGTCTATACTTTACATTTTCGTTTTATATTAAAGAGTCTATAATTAGGATTGCGGTGTTATTTTTAAACCAATTAATTCAATTAAATGCTTGGGGAAGAATTTATTAAGTACTTATCTTATCAACGCAAAATCGATACTCAGTGGACTGGAATTAATGTAACATTATTTGCTTTTCTATGGCAATTTTCTATGGTGTAATTGATTAAATTGCTATTAGTTATCAGCGTTCCCATCCATCTTTCCTATATAAATTACCCGTAATTAAGTGCGATAATCGACAAGGTCTATTAGTGAAAAGCAGAGCGGTTTTAAAAAGCTCGGTACTTTATTCCTCCCCACTTGAGACTGATTGTGTGCTCTATAAATGGAAATATGCACTAAACACTAAGAAATCGGCAACAGGTTGCAGATAAATAGATGGCTTATGTATTCTGGGAATATAAACAGCCATCGTGGTAATACCATATGATCTATTTCATCCATAGGAACTTGTCTTTCTTAAGTAACGTTGTTGAGCTTGCCAGCAGGCGAATTTAAGTACTTTCCAAATGCATCGGGAATCAATCCAGAGAATTCTCCAACTTCTCGCTTTCGGTGTCGCGGAAGATGAAACACTCAACCAGCACGGATATCAGATACAGAACGGCGACGGCATAAATAAAACGCATAGACCGTATACTGACCCACAGCGTCGAGCTCAAAGCCTGTGTCCGTGACACGATCATGGTTAAGAGAGATTGGAAGACAAGGGCCACAAACGTATTGACCCCAAAGACCAAGCCGTAGCTTTCCTCCTGCAGATTCCTGGCCACCTCAGCACTGCAAAATATAAAGATAGTTAAAAACATGGTGGAATATTGGAAACCAAGCTCTTCACCTGGCCACCGTGATGGTAAAGCCGTATAGGGCACCAAAGAGCACGAATCCTGCATAGGACCAGTATATGTCCTCCGTCAGCAGCAGATCAGCACACAGCCGCCCTCCACGGCGGACAAAAGGGCCAGGGTTAGCAGAGACGTTCTTGGCCTAAGACGGTCAGTGTGCAGATAACCGGCAGCCAGGGCACACAAAGCAGCTAGTGCCGTCAGGACAGCATCCACTGCTCCATTCCAGGCAATCAGTGGCTCCGGTTCGATCACCTTCCACAGAACCTGCACGTAGTAGGTGACCTGCAGGTAACCAGCCAGTCCGATGGCATACCACAGACTCCATTGAATGACACGCGGATTGGTGTAGGCATTGCGGAAGTGAAGCCACAAAAGACCAGAGCATGTGGCTGTTTTGGAGTACTCTCCTGATACGCCTCCACCTCCAGGTTGCCTTCTCCGGGCAACTGAGTCTGTGGATCTTGACTGGGCACGGCTCCCGATGGAAATAAAGACTCTTGTCCACGCCGGGCAGGCCAAAAGCCAAATCATGGCAATTATTTGAGCTGTAAATGAAATAAATCAAATGTAAATCATTAAAAATTTCTTTAATATTTAATTTAAATACTTACTGGCCAGCGTTATATAGTTGAGCTCCTTGTAATTCATCAGCTCCAGGTTGATCATCAGTTGCGAAGTGATCCCGGAAACCAGTTTGCCAGCAAACATAGCCCGCTCGGGTGTGTGAGGTAACTCTAGGATAGTACTTTTTATCCACCTTTGCGTAGATGTACGTATAGTAGGCCACCTCGGCGGCCATATAGTACCGTAAAAGAACTCTAAGATCTGCAGAGACAGCAGACTGGTCGTCCAGATGAGCATACTCCATATTATCACACCAGTGGCTCCAACAGTGATGATCAGTGGCTTGTACCTATTAAGTAAGATATTTTGTAATTTATATAGTTCATATTTGCTGTTATAGCTTTCTCATACACTTTTTTTCCGCAAATTACTGGAATTGGTTTCACATATCAAGAACATTTTGCTGACTAAATGACTGAATTTCGGGCGAGCAAAGTCCGAACTTTGACTTTGTAATAGGTCAAATTACTGACTACAGTTATAATCACTTTAAATTTGGATTAGATTGTTGCTTGAGGAAAAGAATTTTAAAATTATACTTTTGAATTACTCTTTAGATTAGGAAATTATATTTAGGCTTTAGAATTTATTATATAAATTTTAATACAATTTAATGTATATATTCAAGAAAACCCTCTACTTTATAGTTTGAAATGGAAACCAGTGGAACAGACATTTGCATTATCATGATATATAGTTACCTCAGGAAGTCTGTTATCAGAAAAACAAAGACCAACTGCACCAGGTAGGAATAGGTGCCCACTGGATAGACATCGTGTGTTAACTGGAATAAAAATGGATATTATGAAGAATGGATAATATGAAATAGTGTGCTCACCTGCGTCTCCGAGATATTCCGCCAGGGCCCCAGCAGGTACTCCGTGACGTAGGGCTCTGATGGACGGATCTCGCGGATGAAGCCAAAGACGCAAAGCAGGCAGGATATCTTTAACCACTCCTTCATCTTTGAACTTGTGTAACGGCCACTGACGTAATGTGCAACGTAGCGTGATGTAACGCCACGAGATCTTACGTAGAGCTCTCGAAGCGGATGCCGTTAGCTGGTTTTCTGCATCTGGACAGGTGGACAGGTGAAGCTCAATACATTGCCCTGATTCTCGGTCAATCTGGTGTATCAGGGCATGGTCGTCACCGTGTGCTCAATCTAATCTGTAGACTACGCGGATCCAGAGTTATCACTTCGAAGTGCCCGCCTTGTATTTACACAGAAATCGCTCTTAGATAATTGCGAATTTATTATGCGGTCTATGACACTAGCTTTTTGTTTGAAAGTCATATACAAACAATTCAAGGTGGGTCGGTTTAATGGTTTTCCAGACACCCTACACACGTGTTGAACGCTCAAGACCGAATGATCAGCATTTCCAGTAACCGCGCAGTTATCGATTTGTCGCCAACACAGCACTTTGGGCTTAATAAACACTTATTTTTACCTTATACTGCGGCGGCAATCAAAATCAATTGACTCGCGAGCCATAATAAATTCGATTTCATTTTGTTGCGTTGCCGGCCGTTACGTCACGACAAAACAACTACGATGCAGCCAGCATCTGTTCGCGAAAAACAATGCAAATGGTTGGCAACGCGGGTCAGCTGTTCGCTTATCACTTACAGCCATGTGCAAAATATTAGTGACGAAAGCAGAGAGTCATCTTGAAAAAACTTGTAACTACTTTAAATATTTAATTTAATAAATAAAAATAAATACAAAATGTTTTAACTATTTTTTATAGAATATTGATTTGTTTTCAGTTCCAAAAGCAGTTTTGCTTGAATATAGCCCCCTTATCACCATTAAGTAAGGTAAGAAATAACACTTTATTGTAAAAAACACACGTTTATTTAGCGCGCTCAGTTTAAAATTAGTAATGTGTTGAATGTGTTACAGAGTATTCGGATTTCGGTTTTGTATGAATTAACAAACAAATTTAGAGGCAAACATTAGCTATTTACACAAACAGAGGGCAGGGCACACGTAGAATTTTGGGGGAGGGGCGATTGACTGACTACGAGCTAAAATTGGCCACACTTGCGGAAAGTTAGAAAGTACACGTAGAAAAATTCTTAACAGCAACGAGACATTGAGGCTGGGCTATACCGCTTTTCCGATGGATGGTTGATGATTGACCTTGGGAACGGAGGGTGGTCTGGGTTTTACCCTTACTCTCCTCACTGCTGGGCAATGGGGGCCGCGGTGGGCGTGGCCACGGGCGGGCTGGAGGTGGCGGGATCCGCGTTCACGAACTCAATGGAGGCGGAGTTGATGCAGTAGCGCTTGCGGGTCGGTTTCGGACCATCCTCGAAGACGTGACCCATGTGGGCGTTGCAGCGGGCGCAGCGGACCTCGGTGCGTATGCGTTCTGGATGTGCGATTAGTAGTAAAATATTGCCCCCTATTTAGTTTGTATTTTGCCATTTTGTGGGATTAATTGGATACGTTTTGGTTGTTGTTTTTTTTTTTGTAGCGCATTTGTTTCACAATTTTTTTTTTACAATATTTTCAATTTTTTTCGGATCGTTTTGCAAGGTTAATTCAAAGTTTTCGTTGTAAACAAATCAACAGAAATAGAAAATTGATTGCAAAATGGATGATAAATGAAAAGCAGAGAGAAAAACAGAGACAGATCGAAGAAAAAACGGCAAATAAATGGAAGTGCAAATCAGAGAGGCGAAGAACAGGGCGTAGGAGGAGGTGCAGCAGAGAGAGCGATAAATAACAATGGACGGCGGCAGTTGATAAATATGCAAGAAAGGAAATCACATAAAATGGGTGAAAATAAATGACAAATCAGTAATATATATGGATTTCCGAGTGATTTGGCGTACATATTGTTTTGGTTAATTAAGCATTCGATGTATGGTGTTTTTGAGTGTTACAATTTCAGCAATGAGTTGGTAAGTGTCGTGTTTTTGTTGTTAGCAAAACAAACCCCCAAATAACGTTTACAGGCGTTGTACATTTAGTTTTTTTTGTTTTGGAAGCGAGTTAAAAAAAGAGAAATAGAAAATATACGAAAATTCACATTATTCGGTTTGCTTGAGACACTCTAAAAAGTTTATGGATATAATGTTAGTGTTACAGTATTCGAGTTATGTTATTCAAAAAATCATTGGGCATGAGTAAGAAGCAAAAAAAACTTAAAGGTAAAAACAAAATCATAAAAATAACCAATTTACACCAGCAAATAAAATACATATGCGGAAATATTTAAAAATAAAGCACTACACACATACAGACATACACATAATGGCCCTGGCCCAAAAATAATGCCAACCGACCTTGAATAATGATCGAAATGGAAATGTGAAAAAGCTCATATGTTTTCAATTTTTTGTTGTGGACTTTAAACCAAAAGAGGGGTGAAAATGGTACAACCGAAAAATAGATAGATAAACCATATAGAAAGGAACCCTATCTGATCCTTAAACTTTATTTCTAGCCTTGCGCAAACATAATTTCTTGTTAACATGTAAACTCCTACGAAATATGTTAATTTTTTATTAACGTACAATAAGTTCCTTACATTACAATGGGAATGCAAAAGAGAGAGATTTTTTGGAGAAATATGAGATTAAACCAAAAAGAAGCGAAACCAAAGCAAGGAATTATAGATTCCCCTGTTCCGTTTACAAAACTTGCATAAAATTGTATAAATCTTCTATATTTTGACCATCCAACAGTATAATATAAAAGTTTGAAACCGAAATAGAGTAGACTTAGATGAAAAGGTGAAACAAAAGTTAGAAAAATAGGATCCTGGACTGATCTACAACACTAATCTCTCACTCCTCGTTCCGTAATACATATCCAAACATCGTTCTCGTGTACAAGCTTTGTGTTTTGTTAAACATTTTTGCATAATAAACTCCTATATAAAATAGCTAAATATCTTTTTGTGAGGCATGAAGCTCTTTAGAGGACTATAGAGATCTTCCAGGTCTATATATGTATGGGGACTCCTCCGGATGTTATATTCCTCGCGGTTCGCAGACAGATCGGTCATTATTTCTTGGACGAGGCCGTCGGGGGATCGGCCTTCGATGGCGCCGCGCTCTTCACAAAATCAATGGACGCGGAGTTGATGCAGAAGCGGCGGTGCTTGGGCGGCGGTCCATCATCGAAGACGTGGCCCATGTGGGCGGAGCACCGGGAGCAGCGCACCTCGGTGCGCACCATGCCTAGCGTTTTCGAAATGACTACTGTTGGTTTAATCGGTTTAACAGTGATACTCGGAGGTGATATTTGGGTAGAGTCGGAATGTTTTTGTGTTATTGTTTTTTTTAAGAAAGAAAGAAATTTCGAGAAAGTCAGGCGGGATAGAAGAGGGGGATAAGAGAACACAATACTCGGTTAGGAATTAATTTTAGTCGCTTCTTCTCGCTCAGTTGCACATTCAGGTGCTGCAACGGCAGCAGGAACACTCACAAGTCACAATCACCGCCACAAGACTAGACAGTAAAACAACAACGGCAAGGCCAACGGCACAACTACAGTGAACTCTGGTCAATGGAACAGTTTATGAACGAGTTCAAGATCAACACAAAAAAAGCCAAAACATAACATAAAAGCAAGGCAACACAAACAGCACAGATTAGGAATGGGTTTCCTTTGACAATATCTTCTGCTTTTCTTTTTTTACATATTACTACGTTTATAAAGCTATTGCTTATCAATTGCAATAATCAGTCGAGAATAAAAATGTATACATACTTTAAGAAGCATCGGTTTAAGAAATTAAATTGAACTCAGTTTAAAGCCAATTATTATTAAACCAGATGATATAACTATTTTCTATAGTTCTAGATCCTTCAACTATTTTTAATGCACCTATTTGCATCATTCCTCTATTACAAAGCTTTTATATAAACGTAGTAAATATTTTTTTATGACTAAATACTACTTGTTTAGTTTTCTGACCGGTCTTATTTACACATAATAACTATGCATGTTTTCCTCATGTCTAGGTTTTATAGTCTCCTAGGCTCAACGCAAAATTCATTCTCAACTTTTGGGTGCGGCAACGAAACGGCAACTCAAATAAAAACAGAACTCAAAACGGTTTGCAATAAAAACAGCTAAGAGTGCCGAATAATGTCTAGGCCATATAGTGGCTAGCTGGCCGGGAAGTGGGCCGCGCGGGCGGTACGCACCTGGTATGCTGGCGTCGCGGTGCAGGGTGACCTTGCCCTTGTCGAGGACGTCGTTGAAGGCCGGCCATCCGCATCCCGAGTCGTATTTGGTGTCCGAGCTAAACAGATCCTGGTGGCACACGATGCACTGGTACACGCCCTTCTCGTAGTGCTTGTTGTAGCAACCTGCGAAGATTACAAATGTTATTAGATGCAGTAATAAACTAAGGTATAAATATATAAAACTGAATCGTAAGTTATTAGAATTCTAAACAATGGGGTTTCAGAGGTTTACTGTTGCGCGAAGCATAATTGCATCTTTTTTAAGGACTAGTTCAACTTTGAGAAACATAACAATTGATTTTCTAAGAAGATAATTTAGTGATAACTTGATATTTTTGGTAAGTTGGGTGATACATTGGATGTTTGCAGACTTAAAAGCAGTTTTCGCCCTGACAAGTTAAATATTAGAATGCAAATTGACAACTATTGAGCAACAAAATCAGTACAAAAGGTTTATAATAACGATAAGTAACCTGTGAAGGGACGCTCGGTGCCCGCCTCCTGGGTAACCTGATACTGCATCGGGGTCAGGCGCTTGCGCAGCTCCTCCTTGTTCACCGTAACCTTCTCGCTCTTGTTGTCCATAGTCGTTAGCCCGGAATACTTCTTTGCCGGATTGTCGCTGTCTTGACGTGAATCTGAAATTCAATACTTCGGTATTTAGTTTGCGGTCGAGTTATGTGTGCTTTTCAGTTTCACCACCAGTTGGGTAATGGAAACTGAGTAATTGTTGTGGGGTAGATTTCTGGTCGCCAAGCTTCTGTAAGATTTCCCGCGTTAATCTCTTACTTATCAGGGGGACTTTTAAGTTAACCCGGGGTAATCTTAACTTGCTTGGTTGGTGCACACCTTCGATAAGAAACAGGTGAATGGGACTATCAGCAATGAGTTGCGGGAATTACTTTCTCAAAACCCAAACTCATCTTGTTTTGTTAACTAAGTCATAAACGAGATGAAAATAGCTTGGCTTCATCAAGTTGATAAACAGAAGAAACTGGATTGCATTCTAACTTTGTATACCAGACAAGTAAATAAACTGATTTTTGGAATAAAAATGAATAAGAAATGAATAATAAGATCTTACCTAGAAAACCCTAAAACTAACCGTTCTTGTATATTTATTACACAAGAAGCCTTTGTAATGTACAAAGTTAATTTCACAAGATACTTAAATAAATGGTCTTTTAAGAGTGCAGCAGCTTGTTTGAATATTTCTAGAAATTTCCATAAATAGCCTTAAATTTGGGATGTTTAGAATTCCAAAACTTGGAATGTTTAGATTTTCAAATTCTGGCAAATATGTGTAGAATAAAGGAAAAATATGTAAGTTTCCCTGAACAAATTTCTTGAGCTTT